TCTGAGGGAGGAGGGGGCTGGGGGCTGGACTCCTGGGTCTGAGGGAGGAGGGGCTAGGGGCCTGGACTCCTGGGGCATGGTTCCTGCCTGTCTGTGATGATGCGGTGCTTCGTGGGCAGGTGGAAAACTGGGTGGCCGAGGGCCCCAGTGAGGAGGAGGCCGTGTGCGTGAACTGCCAGAATAACAGCTATGGCGACAAATGCGAGAGCTGCCTCCACGGCTACTTCCTCCTGGACGGGAAGTGCACCAAGTGAGAGGGGGTACCAGGACCCTCACCTTCCTGACTAGAAATCACTCTGGAAACCAGCCCCCCCCCCTTCTTAGGCAGGAGAGGACCAACTCCCCAGGGAGCCCCAAGGCTAGGCAGCATCGGGGGAGTGAGCGGGGCCTAGATGGGAGACCGCCCCCCAGAGTTGTCCCAGGCTATGGAGCAGCCAGATGGAGGCAGGTGGGCAAGGTGGGAGGGGGGCTGCCCACCCCACTGACCATTCAGAAACTTCAGTCTACCCAGACTAAACTCACTCCTCCAAGAGAGCCTGCAGGACAGGGTCAAACTGCCCCTGGAGTTTCCGAGACTGTAACTCTTTACTGGAGTAGAAAGCTTCATCTTTCTTATGCAGAGGGGCTAGTGGTTTCAAACTGCTGACCTTGTGGTTAGCAGTCCACCTCGTAACCACTATGCCACTAGTACTCCTTCTCTACCAGGGCTAATCCAGGTCCAGATCCTGCCTCTGCTACTTAATGGTTTCAGGGTCTCAGGTTAGAGCGGCTTTGCCTCTGTGAGATCGTGGGGGCTCTTTCACCACTGTCCACTGACCCCTCTTCCAGGTGCCAGTGTAACGGCCACGCAGACACGTGCAATGAACAGGATGGGACAGGCTGCCCGTGTCAGAACAACACGGAGACGGGCACGTGCCAGGGCAGTTCCCCCAGCGACCGCCGGGACTGCTACAAGTACCAGGTGCGGCTGGAGAAGCAGGTTCTGGGCCCCCAGAGGGCAGAGCTGGGAGGAGGGAGGAGGCCTGGCAGATCTACAGCGCAGTTCTGATGCCCATTTGATTGCCTGTTCCTGAGCCCCAGTGCATGTTAGGCCTTGGACAGTGGTGCTGGGGGACCCACATGAGCCTTTGCCCTCAGGGGCCTCCCAGAGTAGGAGAGGGCGACCCCACCATGGACAGAAGCAGTGTGAAGGCTGTAAACAGCAGACTCACAGCAGCATGAGAGCCACCTGCTGGCCTGCAGATGGACTCACGTGTCATGGCCCTAGCTAGAGCTCCAGACTAAACCTTTACAAGAGAGCCTTGTCGGTCTCCTAGGGAGCAACTAGTGGGTGAGCGGTCGCCCTTGTTAGCAGCCCAGTGCTTCACGAACAGCGCCAGAGGACAAGGAGGCCCAGAGTTGGGCAGTGACCTGCCCCAGGTGAGGCAGCCTGGCAGATGGTATCGCCCGGGTAGAACCTTGGTCAATCCCAGAGCCTGAGCTGTGTCCACTGGGCTCCTGCAGCCGTAACTGCTCACTGCTGGTCATTCATCCACCCCACTTACTGGGTACCTCCTGTGTGTCAGCGGGGGCCCTGGTGGCTCTCTGGGTTAAGCATCGGGCTGCTAACCGCGTGATCGGCAGTTTGAACCCCTAAGCTGCTCCACAGGAGACAGATGAGGCTTTCTTCTGCTCACGTCAAGAGCAGTTCCACTCTGCTCCCTACGGCTGCTGTGATGGCGGTGGGCTTGGGTGTGTTAGAGTAACCAGCCTCTGGCAATATCGGGGTGTCTGTAGGCACAATTGTACGGCGATAATATATGAAGATCATAGTAAAGTCATAGAAGATAGGAGAGAAGATAAAATAAAGGAGTCTGACACATTGTATGGTAGCATGCTCACCTCCTAGATGGCCGTGATCTCAGCAGCCAAGTTTGAACAAGAGAGGAGAGGCATGGGGAGATTATTTCTAATCAATGTTTATATATACAGGTAACCACCTACGTCACAGGACGTGGTTGTACCATAGGCAATACAGCAATGGGAGGGGGGCGATCTATGGGTATACATGCAATAGGAAGAGGAGGGATTAGGGGTACACTTGTGACAAGGTGGGCAGATCCTAGATTCAAGATGGTAGCCTAATCTTAGACATCTTTGAGCTGGCTAGATTTATTCGGAGCTCTCCAGGGCAACAATCACTATCCTTATCAGTAGGGTATGAGCCCCACCTACGGTGGACCAGACAATAGTGTGATTGCTCTGGATGGCTGATGCCTTCAGGGAGAAAACGTCTAAGCAGCTGACCACACAATATGCTGGCAAGCAGGTGACAACCTAGGGAAAAATCTTTCGGTATCCCACATGGGTGCTCCTGTTTGGGGGCTCTGTGCCAGGCACTGGGACACAGCAGAAAAAAAACCGGGCAAACTCCTGTGTCCCTTAGACCCTTCCTTCCCCCTGGAGGCTGGTGAGTTCAGGAGATGGTAGATGGCGAGGAGGAAAGTGATGTAAAAAGCGGGCCAGGAAGAGCTGGCTGGTGGGCGTGGTAGGTCTGCTGGCCCAGCAAGGCCTCGCTGTGAAGGTGGCACCCAAGTCATAAAGACTGAATGGGGGTGAGGGTGCAAGTGAGTGAGCACAGTGTGGGGAGACGTGTGACTGAGCGGAGCACACCTGGGCAGTGGGGCCAGCTGTGCAAAGGGGAGGGCTGAGCCTGGCCATGCCTGGGATGCCCTGAGTCAGCAAGGATCTCAGCCTGGTGTACGGCCGGCCAGCTAGTGAGGGAGCTACTCAGGACTCGGTGCCGCCCACATGGCCCAGCCTCTGAGTTTGCCAGGCTGAGGTGTTGGGGTACTGGGTCACTGATGTAACCCCAGGGCAACACTGCTGGGCTGTAGCATCCTGGAGGTGGCAAGGAGGTCCAGGGGGCTCACATGGCAGGGACGGGGACATGGGCCCAGAAGGGCAACACTGACGGGTCAGTGCCTCCCCTGCCCCACAGTGCGCCAAGTGCCGCGAGTCCTTCCACGGGAGCCCCCTGGGCGGCCAGCAGTGCTACCGCCTCATCTCTGTGGAGCAAGAGTGCTGCCTGGACCCCACGTCCCAGACCAACTGCTTCCACGAGCCCAAGCGCCGCGCCCTGGGGCCCGGCCGGACGGTCCTCTTCGGCGTGCAGCCCAAGTTCACCAACGTGGACATCCGCCTGACGCTGGACGTGACCTTCGGGGCCGTGGACCTCTACGTCTCCACCTCCTACGACACCTTCGTGGTCCGCGTGGCCCCAGACACCGGCGTCCACTCCGTGCACATCCAGCCGCCACCGCCTCCGCCGCCTCCACCGCCCCCTGCGGATGGCGGACCCCGGGCGGCCGGGGACCCCGGGGGGCTGGGGGCTGGCGGTGGATCAGGCACCCTGGCGGAGCCCCGGGTTCGGGAGGTGTGGCCTCGCGGCCTCATCACCTACGTGACGGTGACGGAGCCCTCCGCGGTCCTGGTGGTTCGCAGCGTGCGGGACCGGCTGGTCATCACCTACCCGCACGAGCACCACGCGCTCAAGTCGAGCCGCTTCTACCTGCTGCTGCTGGGCGTGGGCGACCCCAGCGGGCCCGGCGCCAACGGCTCGGCCGACTCGCAGGGCCTGCTCTTCTTCCGGCAGGACCAGGCCCACATCGACCTGTTTGTCTTCTTCTCCGTCTTCTTCTCCTGCTTCTTCCTCTTCCTCTCGCTCTGCGTGCTGCTCTGGAAGGCTAAGCAGGCCCTGGACCAGCGGCAGGAGCAGCGCCGGCACCTGCAGGAGATGACCAAGATGGCCAGCCGCCCCTTCGCGAAGGTCACCGTCTGCTTCCCGCCGGACCCTGCCGCCTCGGCCCCTGTCTGGAAGCCAGTGGGACTGCCCCCGCCGGCCTTCCGCCGCTCCGAGCCCTTCCTGCCTCCGCTGCTGCTGACCGGGGCCAGCGGGCCCTGGGGACCCGTGGGAGGCGGCTGCTGCCCGCCGGGCCTGCCCACCACTCTGGCCGGCCTGCGGGCCGGTCCCATTACCCTGGAGCCCACTGAAGATGGCATGGCGGGAGTGGCCACCCTGCTGCTCCAGTTGCCCGGTGGGCCCCACGCCCCCAATGGCGCCTGCCTGGGCTCCGCCCTGGTCACCCTGCGGCACCGGCTGCATGAGTACTGTGGGGGCGGCGGGGGAGCCGGGGGCAGCGGACACGGGGCTGGCGCTGGCCGGAAGGGACTGTTGAGCCAGGACAACCTCACCAGTATGTCCCTCTGACCCACTGCGGGGTCTCCGCTACAGCAGCCCAGCCCCCAGATGGGCTGCCCTAGACTTGGGGTCTTTCCATCTGGGGACCCTGCACAGACAATCCCCAGAGACTTCTGACCCCCCTCCCTCACCCTGGGGGATCCCAGACAGGTCCTCTGGTCATTCTGCATTCAACAATTATTTATTCCGCGGAATTGAGTCTCGCTGAAGCTCTGGCTCTGCTGGAAGTGAGCTCAGGTTCTGGTGAAGGGAGGCCATCGGCACCACAGTGCCGGGAGCAGCCACAGGACATGGTGGTGAGGCCCAGGCTGAGGTGCACTGGGCATTCAGAGAAGTTTGACCTACATCTGAGAAGGAGCCAGGCTTGGGAAGCAGGCTGTAGACACCCGGCACAGCCAGGGCAAAGGCCCCGAGGTGGGAACCGGTTTGTTGTATTGGAAGGACAAAAAAGTTGACCAGGGTGTGAGCCCACAGTGTGAGCAGGAGGCAAGGCTGGTCAAGGCGGGGGCTTCTCGGGGTCCCAGCACAGATTGGGGGCATTTTTCTCAGGGCGATGGGAAGCCATTGGACGGGATTATGAGTAGGAGTGACGGGATCCGATGTATCTATTTAGTGGGGGTGGGGGTGGAGACAAGACGAGGCAGCAGTGGGGACAAGTGATGATGGACCTGATTAGGGGGTGGCCGGGATGGAGGAGTTGGGAGTGGAGGCAGGGTGCACCTTGGTGCTACCACTGCAGTTCCTAAGGATGGCATCGATGTTGGAATGGGGGAGTGGCAAATCCCAGATAACCCCACTGTGTGGCCTGAATGGTGGGATTTATTGAGATGGGGAACACGGGGGCACTAGGGGAAGATCCAGAGTCCAATATTTAGACAGGAGATGTTCTGTAGACAGCTCCTCAGCCAGGTCCAACCGGGGGAAAAACCGCTTGCAGTATTTAGACAGAAGGAACTGAATGCAGACCATTGGTAGCACAGATGAGGGAGGCGTTGAGGATAGGAGCAACAGAGAAGCTGCCCAGAGTGTGGTGGTGGCAGTGTTGCAGCCCAGGGGTCAGGGTCACCCAAGGAAACTGGCACCAGAGCAAGAATTTTGACGGAGAGAAGAGGGCACTGAGGGAGAGGGCGCCCCAGGCCATGGTAGGGAACAAGAAGATTGGAGATAGACACGCTGGCTTCATCCACTTCTTAAACGCTGCTGCCTCAGAAACATATGGCCTCTTCCCAGGGGCTCCCCCCCCCAAGACTGAGCTCCCCCTCCCCTGAGGACACCCAGAACAAAACCAAAAACCTGGCCATCTTCTTGAACTCCGACTCTTGTAAGACTCCCCTCCCCTGTAGCTGCTTTGGGGGAGCTGGGGTTAGCATCTCCCCCTCAGCTGGGGCCCTCAGGCCCTGTCTGAGAGGTGCATGCAGGGGGGCGGCTGGGTAACCCGAAGAGGAGGGACGTGTGGACCAGCAAATAAAGTGTGAGGAAGACCCTGGTGTCCTCAAGTGTGGATGTGGGAGCGGGAGGGGTGGGCTGTCTGGCCTCTGAGCCACCACTGGCATCGGAGGACCGAGAGTCTGGGTCAATGTCCCTGATCTGGTGCCATCTCCTCCCTGCCCTGTGAGCACAAGGTCTGTCCTGAGCGGGGAACACAGACTGACTGCCTTGGTCCAAGTTTCCCAGGATTAACACTGGCGCACGTGACTTTGCTGCCTGTCTGCCCTCCAGGATGGGGTTCTGAGCCTCCATGTACCCAGTGCCATCAGCTTAGCACATGGCAGCCATGGCTCTACCATTTCTGAACACCGTGCACGTATGGTGTGGTCCTCTGTTTACAGAGGAGCTGTGGGGTGGGTCTGGACCCAGGCTGCTGGACTCCCCAAATCTATATGTGTCTAACCACCAGGCTATTCCACCTCCCAGGAGCAGCTGGGGAGGAGTGGTTGGTAACTGGCTCTAATTTGGAGTGGGCTCCCACCAGGTGGGCCAGAGAACTGTGGCCCCTTTTGTAAAAACTATTTGACCGGAGGGTTGAGAATAGGCACCACAGACTCTACCACCAGTCCAACAGTTTCCTCATGGTCAGCCTAGGGGCGTAAATGACAGGCTTCAAAGCACACAACCTTTTTCTCCGTCCTG